TTTTTTTTTTTTTTAATTACTACATGTTTGCCATATGTAACGATCACATTCATCACAGGGAATTCGTACCTGTACATGATATGTCTTAATTCCTTTTTCCAATTCCCCTCTTCTCTGTCAACCCTTCTTCCTCTCCCCATTTACAAAAGCTGTTTCCATTTTTTCCTCCCCACCCTTGTTCCCCTTTCCCATTTGATCATGTTCTTCCTACTTCCCAGTACCGGTCCTCCGTTTTGCTCCTTCTTTACCCTTTGGGTTTCTCACACAAGAGAAACGATGTGACATTTAAACTTGTGTGTCTGATTTACTTTACTCCATCATGGTCTCGAGGTGCATCCACTTACCTACAAATGACTCATTTATCTTTCTATGGCAGAGCAGTATTCCATGGTATGTAAATACCTCATTTTCTTTATCTATCTGTCGATGGGACTATGGGTTGTTTTCATGATTAGCGATTTTTGGCATGGCAGTTATGTTTGGGCAATGCCTCTTTATCAAGTTTCTCTGAGAGCTCTTAGCAGTCTCCTGTGGGTAATCAGCCAACATCATGTAGCAGGCACATTTCTAGAGGCTGCACCTGAACACTGGCCAACAGGAAAACAGGCTGTGGTGAAGGATCTGCAGCAGTACGGCCACACGTCTAGGAAGAAGCTGGTCTCCCCTCCCAACTGTTCTGAGCAGGATAGAACTGAGCTGGGGACAGTCTTTCTTCTTGGGTTTTTTTGGGGCTTTGGTTCTAAACAGCAGTGTGATTCTGGGAAGTCATTTATCCCAGATGGTCCTCAGCAGTGTTACTCTATAGCCCCCACCCCATTAGGTCTTGGGGAGGCCCAAGTAACTTGTGTTGAGTATAGCCTATGCCTGGCACTTCGTGGGTGCTCAGTGTTTAGTACCTAAAGGGACATCTGAGCAGGATACAATCAGAACAGCTTTTGATGTTTTTAGTCCCCTTGTGTTCTGAGTTTTCCCCAAACCACGTCTGTATGTGTTTCATTATTGCCTTGTCACTTTGGGAGAAGGCAGCAGTGGGCAGTAAACAGATTGTCACCATGTCACTGTAACACTGTTTCATCTGTCAGCTGTTGGGATAGGACCAGGCCATCAGTCTTGGGAAGGAGCATTAGCCAAACTTTCCATTTCTATGACATTTTGCAGTTTACAATGTGTTTTCTTGTCCTGTTTCATTTCAAACATACAGGAGAAACAGCTGAATGTCCGCATGTCCTAGGCATCCCTAGGCTGGCTGTGGCCCAGATGTGAAAGCTTAGGTTCCTGGTTGTGGGCACCTGGCCTCTATGCCATACTGGGCACTTGTTGGCACCCAGAGTACCCAGCCCTGGATGCAGCATGATAAGAACACAGCTTTGAACCCTCATGGCCAGGGTGTGCAGGTCTGCCGAAGGGCGCGGTTCAGTGAACTCGCTGCCTGTGTAATGACAAAGCCTGGAGAGAGAAATGCTTCCAGAAGCAGCCTGAGCACACCTTCTCTGAGGGGTGGCGAGCAATGTGACGTCCCTGGCGTCCTTTGGCTTCCATTCCGTCTGTACCCCATCTGTCCAGGTGTCCTCTCTGCTGTCCCTGAGAGCTCTTTTAGCGGTTGGGAAGGGTTTTCATCCTGGCTGGCCCTCTCCCAAGATAAACTGCATAATTGCAAATGTGCCCACAAGCAAATCTCCAAATTGGTGGATTTAAAACAAAGCTGATTAGAGACCTCCACCTGTAAGGGTGTGAAAAGAAAATCTGTCTTTAAAAGATGCCACAGCCTAGCGTCACCCATCTTCTCGCCCTCACAGCACTGTTGGTCGCACCCCGTGAGCTGTTTGTGCTGCACCGTGAGGGGGCACAGGGGTGGCCTTCTGTCCCCACCCTCCCATCCCTGTGGCTGGGGAGATGCACGTGTCTCTTAGGACTAGGAAATCATGAAATGTCCAAGTTGAAGATTTTAGAGGTCTTCTGGTCTAACACTCTGCCTGAGGAAGGACGTCCAGGGACAGCTGCCATCCCAACACGTGCTCACCATCCTCAGCTCGCCCTCCTCACAGGGATGCCCACCTGATGTTAATGGAACAATTGAAAACAAGAAGATCTAGAAACTTCTAAGATAAGAACAACAGGGACCAAACAGGGAAGCATTCATAATTCAAGATCTCTAAGAAGTGGTAGCAGTACTTAATATGGAACCAAAGCCGTGTGAGCGAAACACTGAAGGATTGTTTATCATGTGAGGGTATCATGTCCGAGGGAGGTTCTGCAGTGCCGTGCTGCGTCATCTGTTTGGGGTACAATACTTGAAAACACCGCTTCCACTGGGACTTTGGCACAAATTCCTATTTTCCCTAAATTTGAAGTGAAACTAGATTCTCCTAGAAAACAATGTCATCGCTTATCCAGGAAAGGAACATATTGAATGTGTTTTGGAAGAGTACTCCTGTCAAATCAAAGAGACACTGTGAGACAGAAGCTGGTGGTTCTCCCGCTTGGTGTTGCTGATGGCTGCCCTGAGTGTGTGCGCTCTTACTCTTTCCTGATGATAGAACTAAAGAGGCCAAGGCGGCTGACACTGTTCATTCATTAAGCTCCCTGGACAGAGGAGAGAAAGGTCGATTCCCTGAATGAGAGCCAATTCATGTTTTAAAGCCACTCTAGAGAAAAACAGACATATCTAGTTTATTTTAGCTGATAAAGACTGTTAAAAAAAAAAAAGAAAGAAATAGACCTGTGGATGTTGCCAGAGGATGAGAAATAACAGCCCCGTGACTGAAAAGCTAAATGAAGAGTGGAGGAGAAAACTAACTTTGAACATTTAGAGTATGTGAAATGGCACTGTTTTCCTTAAAGTCTCCCCCAAATAATGGGGAGAATTTACAAGTGGTTCTGGTCAGGGCACCCAGAAATAGAGGGTTTCTATCAATGGGAAATAGAGACCTATTACAATTTTTACGAGTTCCTTTGATTTGTCAGAAATTGATTACAGGTTCTCTGACATTTCCTGATGATATGAAAATGGTCATTGACTTGGGTGTTTTTGTATTTATCCATTCATTTTCTCTTTATTGCATTTTCCCCTCTTAAGGTGCTAAGATAACTACAAAACAAAGGAAAACAAATGCTGCAAAAACGAAGTCTGAAGCAGACTGTTGAATAGTTACTTTAGCTAATTCACAGGTTCCCCCACCCAGGAAAGAAACATATAGCCCCTTCTTCATCCTAGGATCCTCTCAGGGCACCAGGTGGCCTCAGGTGCCCAGGAGCATTTAGAGAAAGAAACAAAAATGTACTGTGCCCAAATCATCACTTGCCACAAGCTCTGATTTTTAAAAAAGTACACATCCATGATTTTACAAATGATAAATGTGATTTTACACATAAATGGCCTTACAAAATCTCTCCAGATGTGATTTCCCTATCTTACACTGGAGTAAACTGAGGCACAGGCAGGACAACGTGCTCAAGATCTCCTGCCATGGGTGGCCAGCCTCAGCCTCTGACCCCTTGGTTTTCTTCACTATGAATATTAGACTGATAACCCACAGGCCTGGCAGGCCAGGTCAGACATCTGCAGAAGGGACTCTGAGTTTGCTTGTCATCAGCCTACCCTGCGAGGTGACTGCAGTGTGATCTCAGAATGGCAGGGCCAGAGTGAGATGGCGGGTAAGCAAATGGAGAGTGAAGGTGCTGTCCTGGCCTGAGGATACACTGCCGAGGGAGCATGCTGGCCAGAGGGAGCAAGGCACAGGCCGAAGAGGGTGCAGTGTAATTTACACTTTGTGAACCAAGAGAAGGTGGTGCAAGGTAGCACCTGGCAGACAGGTGGGCAGGTGATTCTGCATGGCGGAGGAGAACAGGGACAGTGTGGGCAAGTGGCTCTCCAGGGGACACAGCTCATCGTCTGTCTTTACAACCATCTTGCAAGAAGTTACTGGAAAGAGCTTTCCCCAGATGAGAAAACCCAGGCTGGAGAAGTTACGACTTGGCAAATCAGAAAGTGTAGCAGTCAGTGCTTACTAAATAAACAGATTTAATACAAGATATGCAAATGTATAACAATTTACAAGACTGGCTTACAATGGCCACTCCCAGAGTGGAAGAGCAGAAGTTCTGCCTAGCACTGGGTGTCTGAAGGATCCAGTTGAAGGCCTGGAGTTCACTGTAGTGCGAGTTTCTAACAGAGGGCCAAAGGGTCTGCAATGGAAGGCTGAGGGATTGGTGCTGGAGGCTGAAGGGTCCGCTCTGGAAGCCAGGGCATAATGTGTAAGGGGAAGGCAAAGACTGGAGCTCCTTGGAAGAAACAGCAGCAATCTGTCCTTCTTTGTGTCACTTGTATACTACTCTGGCAGCAATCTTCCCTACAGTGGGGTTTCCACACCCAGAACTATGCTGAGCCAATGAATTGGGCATTTCTTATTCAAGTCGACATAATCAATTAACTGTTACAGAGAGCTATGAGGGGTTGAAGTGGATTAAACCCAGGCTAACTTCAGAACTCTCTTGAGTGTTTGGTCTTCTCAAAGTCTCCTTGCTCTTGGAAAGCTTAGTTTTTTGTTTTTTTTTTTTCTAGTGGAGAGTTAATTGTGGAGGCCCTTTCACGGAGGCAACGTGAATTTTATAGAGTGACACAGTGTCACACTTGCTGGCTAGTGTGAGCCCACAGGGGGCTGGCCCTCTTTAATGGCTATGGATGCGCTGCCCTCACCATGAGATAGATACCCTCACCATGTTGATAACCGCTCTTTTTGTCTGGTCGGCTTCTGACTGCCAGCGACCTGGCTCCATCCAGATCTGTGCCTGGCTGTGATAGCTAGGGGCCACATGCTGAATTCTAGCCCTCAGGGAGCAGCCAGCAACTCTGGCTCTTTGCCTGCTCTGGCAGATGGCCCAGATCTGAGGGTTTATGTGATATCTGTCTGGTGGAAGTGACTGGTAGAGGCACTAGCATCTCATCTTAATAATTTAGTGATCATAAAACATGCACTTTGTGGACAGAAACTTTCAAAAGGAGATGGGAGATGTTTGTGTTTTTCCACGTGCAGAAACGTACTGATGTAACCAAAGTCCACTTAAGATACTTAAACATCAAAACATCCCCAGAGACTTACTCTTAACAGCAAAATTTATTGCTTTGTCCCAGATGAAATAATTGTGGAGAGGTATTACAAAGGCAGGAAGAACCAAGAATTCTTTATAATTAGTGTGCGCTGTTTAAATGTAAATGAGCAACTTGAAAACAGTTTGCTTTCTGAAAGACTCTAAGTATTCTTCTCTGCAATCTTCCTGAAGGCATTAATCTGTTTAGACAAACTGCAGGTGGTGCAAAGGTTAACTTCAGTCTAGCCCCCGATCTCCAAAGCTAATTGTGTTTGAATTACTCAGACAGAAGTGAGCTTTCTGTTTGTAGTCATGGCCTCTTAAAACGAGGAAGCTATATGTAGTGTCTTGGTACGAAGTGATACTAGAGGAGTTTTATTGAGGAATCCTCAAGTGGAGACAGAAGACAGTTGTATTCTATTATAGATGTGTCCCTGCATCTCAGGCCCAGACCAGTTACTGCGCATACCCTTCTGGCCTACACGTTGTGGAATGTGGGTTTCTTATGACCGCATTGCTAGTATACTAGGTCCCAACACTGGAATATGGGGAAGAGTACTGAATTTCCCCTTATTTTCTAGCAGGACCATACCGCAGGTCATTTGCTGTGCTGTAATCATATCATTTTTAAGGTCAGGTATTTAGAGGGTGCAAGCCTTTGATGTGGGCTTAAATTCTGAGTATTACCAAAATTCAGTGCAAAGTTAGGACTTGCTCGAGATATGCTCCTGCCTCCAGGGAACTACTTACGTGTGACGTGGGAACAATTTGGGATCATTTTCTAATAAACATATCTTCAAGTTGGCATGTAAAGTGAGACATTTAGAAAGTCATGAAAAGGAGCTTGTGCATGAGATACGGCTTTAAAAAGGTGATGGTGACCTTTATAGATGGACTCACGCGAGAAAGTGATTTTCTGTTAGGGTGGGCGCAGGAGTGCGTGGCTCTGTGTTGCACAAGCATAAGCACAGAAACGCAAGTTGTGGGGTTGCTTTGAGAGAATAGCCACAGAGAGAGCTCCTTTGGGCTCGTTCGTATTTTATTAGGGCGGCAGTTAGGAAATTCATCAGAGACGCTCATCTGCAGCTAGCAGTACCCTTGAGGCAGGTTCTGATGGTGATCAGATGTTTGAGTAGCACTTTACATGAACAGAAAAAGACAATCATTTACAACTGAGAATTAATAGCCCCCCAGAGAGAGGCTGTTCTTCCATAAGGCTATGGCTCTCTGATGCCTAATTCCTCTCCCACCTGCTTCAGCTGGCACTTGAGGCACGGAAAAGTGAGAAAAGAGAGACACAGAGAAGAGGTTCGTAGTGGGGAACGTGGTGGTTAGTGGAGAACGGGCTGAGCATGGTGGGCCTGCACGGGTCACTCCGAGGTTGTGTCCATCGCACGGGACCCTGGAGCCTCGGCTGTGCAGAGAGAGGCTGGGTTCAGAGGGGGCAACTTTGCCTCGAGCTGTCTGTCCTGCCAGGTGGTCGTGTCCAGGCGCTCTGCCTCAGGAAGAGGGTCTCGTTGTCATTCTATTTCTGCATTGAAAATAACACTAGGCACTGAGCTGTGATGTAGGGAAGAATTCTCTCTCCCTTCTGAGATCCACAGCTGGTACCCTGAATGACAATGGGTCATCTCAAGGGTTAGCTCTATAAGGCCAAGGCTGCGGTGGGTTTTTGTCTGGAGACCTCCTGTTGGTGACACGGGATTTGCCTATCTTTTTTTTTTTTTAAGTGTTTATCTATTTATTTTACAAAAACATTTATTGGTATATTTTAGGTGTACATAACATTCATCATAGGGAATTTGTACCAGTACACGATATAACTTGCTTCTTTTTTCCTCATCTCCCCTTATGTACAAAAGCTTTGTTTCCATTTTTCCTTCGATTTTCTTTTTTCTCGTCCATTCTTTCCTTCTCTCTCCCGCTCCCTGTTCCCCTTCTCATTTGAACATTTTCTTCCCATTCTCCAATGTCTACTGTAGATTTTAGTCCTTATTTCCACTTTTAGTTTCTCACATTAGAGAAACAATGCAGTATTTAAACATATGTGTTCAATTTATTTCACTTAAGAGTATGGTCTCAGGGTCCATCCATTTAGCTGTAAATGCCTCCAGCTTGTTCTTCTTTATGGAAGAGGAGTGCTCTGTTAGATTAAAAAAAAAAAATCCACCCATAGTGGAGAAGGATTCCTTTTCCCCATAACCTTTCTAGCATTTGTTGCTGGTTGATTTCTTTATAATAGCCATTCTTTCTGCAGTGAGATGGTGACCTGGGATATTTATTTGGTGATTTGGTGATTGGTTTTGTGTTTTAGAGACTCTGGAGTTTTGCTACATCATGGTATACAGTTTGGTTGCTAAGTATAACTAGGTAACATCATGGCTGGGCCAAACAACCAGCTCCTGTGGAGAGAACCTTACAGATAACTATTGAGTGATGGACTGTCTTGGCCAGAGTGGCTTTGCCCAGGCTCTGTTGGCCAAACATCTTGGCACTGGGACACTCGTGTTCATTAAGATGCTGCAAAAGGGGCAACTGAAACCTGCCTCTACTGCGTCTGAGGTAGAGATATCAAAGGATCCACAGAACCTCAGTATCATATAGTTACTGCAGGTCATTGAAACTCTGAATGAAGTATACCTTGTGCTAGAGCACATGAGTTGGGGAGACCTGAGGTGACACATCTGGAAGGCCACCAATGGGCTGACAGAGGAGGAGGCCTGGAGATTATTCATGTAGAATGAGGGTCCTGGGGAGCGCTGCTACAGCCAGGGTATTGTCCATGGCAACCTCAAACTCAAGAATATTCTATTACATTCCTAAGGAATATTAAGATTAGTGGATTTGGGTTGAGGAAGAAGTTTGTTCCTGGGCAGAATATGACCATGGGCAGCCGCATTGTACAGTATACTACCCCAAGCTGTTCTTTAACAAAGCATATCAAAGCCTGCAGTGGGTGTTTGGAACCTCAGAGTCATCTTATGCCAGTTGTTCATAGGATACCCCCAATTCTGTGGGAAAGAGTGGCATCTGGGGCAGTGAATCTTGGCTGGCAGTTCCTCCTGTTCCTCCTCTTTCTCCTTGGACCTGCTGAACCTAATCAGCAGGCTCCTCCTCACCTGTGACCCCACAATGCAGCCCACACTAAAGCAGGTCTTGCAGTACCTGTGGCTCCAATGGAGTACACCTCCTAATTCTCCTCCTGAGCTGCTCCCTAAGCACAGGAATATGGCAATGATGAGACCCTGACCATCGAATCTGTGATATTCAGGAAGTATGACTATCAAGTGGCTTTTTTTTTTTTTTTTTTAAAAAAAACTGCTGTAGCACTAGGGAATGCCAGGGTGTAACTTTCTGATTCTGGGTAAAGCCTGAGGATATGGAAAATCCTCTACAGGTCCTGCTGCCTCGATTCCCCTCCCCAGTAGGAAGACCAGTGAACCTGCAGCCTGCACTGACGCCTTCCTCCCTGGTATGATGCCTCCAGGGCAGCAGGGTGGCAGAGGCTCCCTGCCTCTCATTCATGTCTTCAGGACCACATTCTCAGCATAGTCTGCCAGCTTAGCCCTGAGGTATCCTGCTCCAGCTCCTGCATCACCTCATACCCTGGCAGTAATGGGAGGTAGGGCTACAAGATAGTGAAGAGGAGGATTTCAGCCTGTGTTCTGGCCCTATGTTTCCCCTGCCTGCCAGCCTGGGAGAAATCCTGGGGTGCTACTGCAAGGTGGCTATAATGTAAGTATGAAGCAGCAAAGACTCAGACAAAACTCAAGGAGGTGAGGTGGTCCAGTGGTGCTTCCCGTGTGTTATCTGTGTCTTGATGATGTTGTTTTCAATTGTCAAGTTGTACCTTTAGGGACAGGAGTTGGGAAAGGCAGGGGTGGTGGTGACCATAATATCTGGTGCTT